GTCAGTCTTCACAGGATGTTCCCAGCCAGAGTTTGCAGATCTCCAAGCCTTGTTGTCCAAGGACCTTAGGAAGGCAATCATCATAGGCTTCCAATAGTCATAATTTGAACCATCCAGAATTGGAGGTCTATTGGTGAATCCAATATCTTTATCCATAGTACCATAATTTTGTTTCCCTAAATCTCACCCAGTAATAAACAGGCAGGGTTCCTGCTCTGATGCCAATTGAAAATTCTGGCCAGCCCATGATGGATGTTCTAACAGAAGTTATAACATCCACTGTGACATTCACTACAGACCTACTATTATGCAGTAATAACAAAGCAGTAAATAACACAATTAGTTGTTGACCCAGTTCAGTGCAACACACTTACATCTGGGGGCTACCAAGCAAGGGAGAAATTTCACTATCAGCAGTATCAATTTAGAGTCAAACCTCCAGTTTGCACTCCTCACTTAATCACTACCCAATGCCAATTTAACCTAGAGACACTCTAGACCTGAGTATACCCACTCACTCCCTACAATCACACACCAGTGATAACAATCAGTTACAAATTAAACAGTAGATTGAAGATACACTTCACCTACACACGCACACCTCGATCTTACTTCAAAGCTTTGATCAAGTGACATACACTCTTACTTAACAGCTTTGAGTGATACACCGCCTAGAAACTACCTAACCAATGCAATCAACAGTTGATTGGGTTACAAGTATTCCTAAGACACAAAAGTGAAGAACAATCTCTTCACTTCTATACCACTATGGTGATTTCTCTGCTTCTCTATCTTCAACCGCTGCCTTCTAGGATTGTCTCTCCTGGTATTTGTAGCAGCAGATCAGTCCTTGGGCCGGGGCACATACATTAGGTTTTATCCATCATAAAACCTCACTTTTGTATCCTGCACGTTTGCCTCTTTAATCATGTACATATTAGTTCCCCTAGGGCGTCTAAAATGTCTCCTGCATTCCAGCTTGAGCTTCTGAGTTGTTTCCTGAGTTATAGCTACCAGAATAACAAACTTCCGCTTGATGTCATACGACCTATGTCATAACATTGAGTATGACATCCAGCTTAACTTATAGTTAGCTTAGTTAACTTACCCTGCACAGTCCATATTATGAATGTAATAACATCAAATATGACATTCATATATGTACTTATATTTTGCCACAAAATGCAGCCAATCGAGAGCACTTACAGGTTTCAATATGGACGCCTTAAACCCAGATGTTAGTAGAAATAAATGATAGGTCTAGATGGGATGCCACTACCATCGAGAACAGACACATCAAATGTCTTTCTTGTAAATGACACCATTTCACAGGGGAGTCGTGATGTGTATCCCTAATTTTAACATTGATGATATCCCTTCTTACCTATGATATTAGAGTGTCTTGAATAGTTTACGAGGATATCTTGACCGCTGACTGTGTAATTATTTACTGGTGTTTTTATTAAAATCATGGGTTTAATTCACTTAAAAGATTAAATTGAAAAGTGTACAGGTAAGATGCCTAATAGTTTTAAAAGATAAAAAATGTCAGAAAACAACAACAACAACAACAATAAAAAGTCTAAAATTCAGAAAGCGATTAGCAAGAAACATTAAAAAAATGTTCTAAAAACCAACATGGAACAAAAGAAAAATAAGAAACACCAAAATACCTCTCAACAAATGTAAACATGAACAAAAAAGTCAAACCCTCAAAACAACTAAAATTTCAGGTATAAGACGAGGTCTGCCGGACACATTGAGAAAGAGGAACAAAGAAAGTCATTACAAAAGATAACTATGTTCACTAGTTGTGCCATCGTAAATGACAAACTTGAGAAATGAAGTTGTTTTATGATTTTTATATAATCCACATCATAGAGTGTCAAGTCAAAGTTAAACCTACTCTAACTCTAGACCTATTCTTAAGAGACTTAACTAACTCAAAAAGAAACTTCCATTTTTTAGGTATTTTGTATGGAACTAGAAATAAAAGATGAGGTGGTGGAGTTATGTCTTATTGCGTTGGAGCAATACATTTGATACGGTAGAGTGAGGTGGACCTGCAAGGTTAGCACTCCAAAATCTAAGTCAGTGAGAGAATAATAAGTAATGCTAGAGTGAGAATGAATTTTAATATTTGAAATTTCATTATTTCCCCTTATATAACAAGAGTAGTTGGAATTGTTCGCGCGTAATATGACATGTTATACATAAAACCGTCTGATTAAATTGGATGATGATTGATGCGTTGGATGGAAAAATTGTCTGCTTCTGGTCAGAGTGAAGGGTTTCATGCACCATTCTTCTTTAATCTTTCTCTAGGGCCCAAAAAAGTTGCCGCTCAAGCCCTTGGTCTTATTCTATAGAATAAGGGTTTCACTATGGACGTCTTTACCAAGGATATTAAAGTGCCCTGAATAGTTTACGATGATATCTTGACCATTGACTGTGTAGTTGTTTACTGGTGTTTTTAATAAACATTCACGAGTTTAGTTTACTTAAAAGATTAACTTGAAAAATCTCTAACACGGTTTTTGCAAAGACAAATTACGGTGAAAAGTTCGTGTTACTTGAGTTTAAATGTTTGGATAATGATAAATTGAATGCAGAAGGTAAACTTTGAACAACGACAATAAACTACAAATAATGTAAATGAAGTAAATTACATTTAATGTGGCTTTGAATACAAAAAAAAAAAAGGTTTGCAGAAAGTGTAAATGGTGGACACAAACTCACAAGCCTCACAAACTATTTTGCTATGTGACTTGGGTACTTTGGTTCTATAGAGAATTAGGGAGAATTTGCAACCTTGATTATAATGCATAAGCTTGCATTATATATTATTACAAAGAAAACCATCGACCATGGTTAAACATTATAAATTTGACAGGTGTCTCACTACTTAGGTCTTCGTGTTCCAACTTGCCTCCACATGTCTTCAAGGAAGTAACCGATGAAAACCAACTAGAACATGGTGATAACTAGCAATATCTATCTTTTAAAGTGCTACTTCCCTCCATCAAAAGTTGGATGCATGTCTGAATCACTTAGTCTTAGGACTTAAAAATATCCCAAGTCCTTAACACTTAAAAGTGTCGACTTCGACCTAATGTTGAAAGGTTGTTATGTGACCTTTCAAGATTCTAAACATGTTTGGAAGAGAGAGTAATCTTAATCTTGTGCGCCTGCTCTTCTTTATATTCATCTTCTGAAGCTTCTGAGTCGTCCCAGGTACCCATAAGAACCTTCTTCTTTTCTCTGGAGAATTTCCTTTTGGTATGAGTTTGGGACACTCATTTCTGTAAGGGAATTTTTTAATGCACCCTATATCTTACTTAGGAACCACTTGAAAATATTGAAATGCTCCTAGATTACATAGATGCATCTCCATACGCACCTAATTCTGACTTAACATTAAAATATTTTAAAGATGCATCTTCAAACGTATCTCGGAGATGCATATCTGAAAGATAATGGAGTTTATACCGCGCCATAACCTTCTCCTTCCTCATTTTTGAAAAAACTCAAAATTTTATCAAAAACTCTTTCAAATTTTTTTTATCAACTAAATCCCAAATCAAACAGCAAAGCTCAGAGCTTCTTCAATTGACATCAAGTGCATCATATACATCACCAAAGTGTGAGGTAAACTTTAAATTTGTAAGCGTTTTTTATAAATGATATTTTTTATTTAATTTTAATTTAAATGAAAATTATGTAAGAAGTTATTAGTAAGAAATTATGTGAAAGGTGATAATAATGGTTCAACGAAAGTTATTCTATAATTAATGGTATAAAAATTATTAAACTTTCACATAACCACCATTTGTTAGAAAGAGAAGTTAAAATTTAAAATAAAAACTGAAAATGGTATATTTAGAAGAGAAAAGATTACACTAAAATCATGTTTTCCTTTTATATATAAGTATAGATATGATATAAGTTGCAAATGAGTAAGAGATGTAATAGTATATTAAATAGTCATATAAATATATTAGGAAAGGAACATAATGAAACTCCTAATATTAAAGGAAAGCAATATTTAACTTGAGATCCTCACACTTGAACCTGACATTTTTATTTTGATCAATTTTACTGTTATATCCTTGAATGAATTTAGAAAGTTTTAGAAATTTGCAGGTTTTTATACGAAATTTTGAATCTGATTCAAAAATTTTAAAAATTTACAGGCTTTTAATGCAAAATTTTCGAAAAATTTTAAATTTGCAAAAGTTTTTATGTTTTCCCAAAAATTTTGACAATTTTCGATACGGGTTTAAAATTTTTCAGAAAAATACTGATTTTCTTTTTTGAAATTTTTGGTATTTTTTATCGGATTTTTGATATTTCCTATAATTTATACCAAAAAATTTTCAAATTTCCGATATAAATGCAAGAATTTCCAGAAATACAAAAAAAAAACGTATTGGAAATTTGACGTATTATATAAAATTTCATTTTTGATATGTTAGTAAGAGGGAAAATTTTAAAAGAAAAATAAAATTTAGTTGATAAATAATATCAAAAATATTTTGGAAATTTTAAAATTATAAGTGTCAGATATAAATAGGGAGTGGGAAGTTAAATTCTCGTTACAGTTTAAGATTTAGAGATTAGAAATTAATTTTTCAAATCAAACACAGAATAACTGGATATGTGATGTGTTGTCCATTACCTTTTTTTTTTTTTAAATAATTGTCACATTGCATCGATGACTTCTTATGATCACATAATTGTCGAGCCCAATATACGGTGCTTTAAATAAACAATGCTGCAAACATACATTTACATCTTAGTAACACTCCTACATACTGGGTACTTTTATCATTTCAAATTATTTTTTATATATTATAGGCCACTTTTTTTGGTGCAAGATAAATGTAAGTAGGGCTCTGTTATGGAAGCAGCAGGCCATTTCCAATATTTGAGAATGTAGGAAATTGAGTGATCTGCTGAACATAGCTAAATAAATATTTCAGTCACTTGAGCCTTCCTCATCAATAATCTTCTGGAAATTCAAAGCCTAACTCTTTATTGTCTCTGTAAACTTGCACTAGAGCAGCAGCCTTGTAGACAAACATCCCAACCATGGCTGGCACAAGCTGTGGGTGAAGAAAAGACAGAATCAAAATGACCATTGTGTTAGACAGTAGTTGAATAGTAGAGTGCTCTCAATAAAATATTTGGCTCTCATGCTATCATATAGTTCGTGCAGACATGCAGTTAGAACATCGGTGGTCGCAGGATCAAGAACAGACAGAGCAGAAAACATGCATATTTTGATTTTCAAAAATAAAAATAAATATTGAAATTAAAATCTTGACTGATCTATTTTTTATTCAACAGTCATCGTTATCCTGACTGCACGAATGTATGGATTTCTGATTGCACGTAATCCAAATTCCTAAAGAAAGTGGTTTTTTTTTTAAAAAACATATTTGATGTTTCCAGGGTTTACCTGAAAATCAAACAAGTCATTGGTAAAATACTGATGAGACAAAGCCCAAAGTCCATAAATTGCTGCTGGGATCACGAGCCTTGGAGATGAAAGTGATATACCGCTACCCCTGATTGTTTTCTCGAAAAAATCATTAAGGTCCTCGCTTCTTATACCAATTCTGAGTAAGAAATATTTTTTGATCAAAACAACGGATAAGAGAATGCTAACTGGCTCGACTAAAACAAATTCAAATTGAAAGTTTTCATACGTACTTTTTTGACGTCTTTTTCCTAAATATTTGAGGAACGTTTTCACTTGATATGTTGTCCGCGTGTTGATACAAGAGCTGAAGGTACAAGCAACTGCATTGAAAATGGCATGTCAGTGATGTACTAAAATAAGCACCGATAGCTATATATTTTATTTACACTCGATCTACAAAGAGCAGTTTCATGAACAAATATCTACAAAGAGCAGTTTCATGAACAAATAGTATGTCTGAATCCTCACATCTAATAGTGGTTAAAAAGAGGGATAGTCGGACATTTAAAATTCACTAGGCTTCTTAGATTCCTAAAAACATTTCTAAAATTTGAGAGAACAACAATAAACTTAGGTTTTAATTGATACACACTAAAAGTGTACAAATTTTTACACTTTTTACACTGTCAATCAATCATAATCATTAGATCATTACAAACATTAGGCTTTAATCGTATCTACCTTAAAAGTCATACAAATGATGGTTTGTAATCGTTTGAAAATGTAAAAAGTTTTACAGTGACAGTACTTCAAAATAAATTTCATAAACTCACATGAATTGTTGTTTGGAAAGTTTTATACTCTGGAACCAAGCTCAAATCTATTTAAAACTCACCAAAAAATTCAACAAGACAGAATATAGAAAAATCCAATAACAAACCTGAAAAGGACTCCAACCGCATAACTTAAAGCAGCCTGAAAAGTTGGATACAAACATTACTTCAACATAGATGCTCGAAACTTCTTTTTGCGAACTTAGACAACATATACGGATGTACAAACTTTTGTGTACAGACGGAAATAACTTGGAACTCACATTATGGTGGTTAAAGTTAAATCATTACGTTAAGACATTGGTAATAGCATCCATCTAAAGTTAGAATTGTTATGACGAAAAATCATAATTCATGGGTAAGAAGCATTAAATTTATCTAGTTGTGAATTATGACAGCAAGTTGACAAGAATAGAAAAACAAAGGTATGCAAATTTAAACTTTACCTGTACAGAAAAAACTACCAAGCAATATCCACTACAAGCCAATCCAATACCCACAGAGAGAAGTAGTAATTCTCTCTTGAGCTAAATACAAAAATAACAATTTAAAAATCAGAAGCTAAACACAATGTAAGAATAATTATGAATGATCAAAACCTACATGTCTTGAAGCAAGTGTGACTGACTTTAGCAAATAAAGAACATACTGAGTCAAGAGAGGTATCATACAGATTGATATTTGAGTGCCTCCAGTTTCTTGAGTCTTGCTCTGTTGTCTTGGATTGTCTGTTGATATATGAAGTGAAGCATCAAATATTATAAAATGATGATTGAATTTTTATTTATTTACCAAGAAAGAAGATGAACTTGAAAACTATTTAAACAAAATATATCAATTTGACATCCAGTTTTCAACTTTCTGTTAAGGGATAAAGCATAAACAAGAAAATGACTGTTCACCAGATCAAAAATGAAAACAAAAATCATACCTTGGCAGTCATCTTCCTGTTTATTGGTGCAGAAGTGTTACCTAATACCCACTCTTGGGTACTCGAAAGTTTCAAAAAACCGCCATCACTGTTAGTCTCTATGATCTACAAGTATTAGAATAATCGCATGAAACTGAATTGCCTGATAAAATAAACCATATACAAAACTCGAAACCGGATTGGTACAAGGCAACGAATTCCCAAAACTGACACTCATAATAAAAATACTTAATCAGAATGGGTTGAATTTTGAAATTAAATACAATGAGTATGAGTCAGCTGCACCTGTTCTGTTTGTTGAGAATTGTTGTCGGTGAGCTCACTAACATCATAATCACCAGAATTTCCGGAGTTCATCCGCCATATTAAATCAGAAGTTCTTGATACAAAATCCCCATTTAATTCTCTCTCCTTCAAAAATATTTGCAAGACTTCCTCATCCACATCGCTCACTAAACATTATGAATTTCGATCAATCACGTATCAGCAGAAACATTCAGACATATTACAAATGACATGAAAAAATAGGACGCCATGCCAATGATCAAGTGTTATTTTTTTAGGTGCTAAAAGAATAGAAATAATGGTACCAGAACATGTACTTCAATGATATAGAAAACACAAGGTTGAATTATTTGCCAAACCGTGGTGAATAGTCATTAAACATAACCCTCCCACCCCCCATGCAACGGCCTCTTTTCGGTTTGAATAGAGGACAATGCTCCAGCGCTGGCCCAACAAATTTGTAGCCTAAAGCAAATGTTAATGCGAGGCTTAAAGTAAAATCCAATACAGTATAACCTAACTATGAAAAAAAAGAAAAATCTTTAAAATTAGAATATGAAGCCTACAGAGTGTGCTGCTAGCATTCCTCTAATTAAAATTAGGAGCCTTAACCATTAACATAAACAATGAAGCCTAAGCAAGAAGGCCATCAATTTCCCAGTCAAATAACAGAAGCCTGTTTTTGACAACAATTATTTAGATGAACACTCAAGTTGAATGTATCATCAACAAGGTGTTTATCCACGAAAACTAACACTTCAAACTTCTCTACTTTCTATTCTCTATTCTCTTGTTAATTGTTAGGTAAGCTTTACAAATTATGCATATACTTGAAAAATATTGGTTCTGAGTTAACAGAAAGCGATAGATACAGGTATCTCAAATTCACAATTTTCGAAAAATTGACGAAATTGACGTTACAGCAACCAAATAACGGGGAAATTAAGAAAGATGCTAACCTGTAGCGGTGGTACTGGTGGTGGTGGTGGTGGTACGAGTAGCTCTTAGTGGTGAAACAAAATGTGTGGTTGTTGAAAAAGCAGTTGGGAAAGGAGATAATGCAGGGGTTTTGGGGAACTGAAAAGTGTAACAATTGGAGAGGAATCTAATCCTTGCAAGAGTATCCATAGCATAGATGGATAGAACGGAAACACCAAGAACCGAGAGCAACCTTACCCCCACTCCACTCCCTTGGCTGATCCTTTATTATTTGGGCTCCTCTGTCAAAAACTAATCACGAAGTTGTTGATAATTATTCAACCATTATGAATTTAGTTAGAAAATAAAAATTGTCATTAGAGAACTTAAAAAATCCATTTTAAATTCTTTTATTTTTATATATATATATATATATATATATATATATATATATATATATATATATATATATATATATATATATATATATATATATATATATATATATATATATATATATAATTTTCTATAAATTTATCCGAAAGAAAACACGTATGTACATTTATTATTAGTTGACAAGAATCTATGGGTAACAATTATCGACAGATCTTTTATTCTAAAGGATGTTGATGACAGTGTTAAACACCCAAAAGATTAACGGAGGATGAAACTAAAAAAGACTTCATATGATTTGAAAGCGAGAAACATATTTGCCTCAGCTTTAAGTGTGAAAGTATTCTACTCTATTTCACATCATAAGAGCACAAAATCTATGTGGGACGTTCTTCAAACCCTTTGCAAGGGAACTGAAGCCGTCAAGGGTTCTAAGATCAGCATTATAACAGAGGAGGGAACCTGTAAAATCCGTAGAATATATGCAGACTCGCTTTCTCCATTTAATCAACTAACTTAGGAAAATCCATGCAGTCGTCATTACGTAATTTTTATGAGAAAATTCGAATAAATTCGTAAGAATAATGAGCAAAAGTCATGACAAAGTGTGAAGAAATGAGAAAAAAATCCAAAGAAGAAATAAGGACTTAATGAAAATTATGAAGCAAAAGAAAAGAAAATATGTCTATTGCTTAATGATTTCTCGTGCGTGATGCATTTCATCACGGTGCAGTGAGGCTTGCACGTGGGGCAATGAGACGTGTTTTGGTTGACACGCAAATTTTTATTTAAAAGCAAATTTGACTATTTTTTGGGAGTTCAGAAATTTAGAGAAAAAGGGACAACTATGAATACTCAAACGGCAGAGAGTTATTCTTCCTTAGATTTTAATGGTGAATATTTATCAACTCATTATATTTGTTAATTTATTAATGAGTAGCTAAGTTTCTCTATAATATGCCTTTTTGAAATGAACCTTACTTTTACTTTGTTGATCATATGTTTGTTTGAGATTTATTGAGTACTTTTCTCATTATTATCTTATTTAAATTACTCTTGAGTTTAATGTTTTGTGTAGCTTATGAGTGTATGAATCAATATAGATGCATAGGGATCTTTTATCGTTAGTCTATTTATCTAATATAAAGCAATTTATTTGACTTTGTAATTAACTAGGGATAGATAATTAGAAGTCGTTTCTTTTGATTTTGCAAATTATTATACTCCCTCCGTTTCAAAATGACTGTCCTTTTAGAGAAAAAAATTTGTTTCAAAATGAATGTCATTCTTACTTTTCAATGTAGTAATAATTGTCATTTTTCCAATTTTGTCATATAATTATTACTATGTACACTATTTCCAACACATAAATAAGACTAATTTAGTAAAAGTGCAATATCTTATGACAATATCATTGTATTTCTTAATCTGTGTGCAAAAATCTTAAACGACAGTCATTTTGAAACGGAGAGAGTATTAGTTTAGTTTTTGATTTTACAGTCTTTTATTTTTTACTATTTAGTTTGGTGTGGTGCTATTAAGGTATTTCTTATTTGTTTATGCGAGGTACCGATTTGACGCTAACATCAATTGACTTTGTAATCAAAGAACAACACACATAATTCACAAAACAAAACGAAGAGCACTGAAAGTTACTGAGGAAGTAAAATAAGATAAAGTAGAGATGGATGTTCCACCACGTCAAACATTTAGGGACTATTGCAGGAGGGTCGATTCAGAGTAGATATCTTTAGGTTTCCAACTGGCCAATCTGGTAACCTCTGACATTAAGAATTATGTACTTACAAATTTGAAGGAGAACCCATTAACTGGGCATGCGATCAAAGATCCTTGGGAACATCTTGAAAAATGTTAGGATACATGCTCAATGTGATAGCCAAGTGGTAATATCACCGACGATCAGGTAAACTTGTGTTTGTTTGGTTTTTCTTTTATAGGTCGTGCGGAGGATTGGTTACAGTGCATCCCAAATGGTACAATTCAAAACCGAAAAGGACTAGAAGACAAGTTTCTAGAGAGATACTATTCAAGTGCTCATATTGTATAGAGAAAAGCCATAATTTCCAATTATGTGTAAGAAGAGTATGAATTGTTAGCAAATGCATGTGAAAGATTCAAATTGTTACTCCGAAGGTGTCCAAATCATAATATGAGTGCTATATAGCAGATGACACACTTCATCGACGAATTAAGAATACAAACTAGAATGTTTCTCGATGCCTCACTTGGAGGTACATTGAGATCGAAGACTGGTGAAGAGTTGAAAACATTGATTGAGAATATATGTTCGAATAAGTATTGCTCAAATGAAAGAGCAATGAAGAAAAAAGGCATTCGCGCAATTGATTCGACCACGACTTTATCAGTTCAGATAGAAACATTCTCTAAACAATTAGTCACAACCCAACTAGCCCAAGCTAATGTGATCCTAATCCAGACACTTCATTGTGATTTTATGGAGGAGAAGATGCAAATGGTAGTTGTACCGTAGATGTTGAGAGTGCTGAAGTTTATTATGCTAATTTTCAAAATGATTATCCTTATTTTAACACCTACAATTCGGGTTAAAAAGATCATGTAAACTTCATGTGGAGTAACAATCAGACTTTAAATGTTAAGTAAGGTATTCAACAATTTCTTCAAACACCTCCATACAAACCATCACCTCTTAAAGAGACATTGTCAAATTTCATAAAGGCTACTCAAGAAAGCTTTGAGAAAGTAAACAATGTTGGAACAAGTTTGGCTATACAACTATCTTTGAGTTTTTATGATAACAAATTATAGAGAACAAATTTGTACTCTAACTATTTTGCTGAGTGTGCAGAAAACTAAAAACAGACTCTAACTCTGAACCAAAGGATAAAAGCGTGTTTACGAACAATTCAATTCTAATGTTTCAAGTCAACTTTGATATGTCAAAGTCAACGTTTCTGAATAGAAACAAGTAACATAGATTCTGATGAAGATTAAGACTATCTGCTTCTGAAAGTCTCAGAATCCTAATCCTCATAACTATGAAGTCTCACATGTAACGCCCGTTTATTTCCGTTAGGTTGATTATGAATCCTTGTCGTGTCTCGTCGTATCGTGGTTGTTTTTGGGTAAGATTGTTAGTCGGAATAACTTACCGTTAAGGGCAGAACAGAAGTAACAGAGAAGAAAATGAGAAATTGCTGAGGTGACGCTCGTCACACCCATGCCACGGTCGTTACGACCGTCACCGGTCCCTCACGACCGTCATGGCTCTTACGTTCGTCACGTGCCTGACGCTCGTCACAAACAGAAATCCAATAACGTCAAATTGGAACGCGCCCACGAATAAACTGAGAAACTGCAGCAACGCATTCCGTAATTCCCTCGCCCTCAATTCTGTCTTGTTTGGGAAACATAAACTAGAAAGGAAAAGAAAGAACGGGACCATGGAGAAAATTGTGAACAGAAGAATTAGCTGCCGGAGAGATTTCAAGATAGTTGCAGAGGAGTCACCGAAAAGCAAGCCAGAACTGAGAGTGTAGAGTTGTCCTCAATCCAAAGGTAAGGGTGGGGTTCAATTCTATAACCATGGGTATGATAGAATTCATGAACGGAATTGAATTATAGGATTAGTCTCCGTGGGTTGATAGATATTAGGGATAACACTTGTCTGTGTCTGCAAAGTGTTATCCGTCATTTAGTTTTGGTTCTAAATTGTGTAGTTGTCCCTTAAGCAGTACGATTAGTAGTTCCATAATTAACGAAGCTTTATCGAAAATCTATAATTAATTGAGCAGGTAAAGGTTGGAGTTCCGCTTTTGTGAAAATATTTTGAGATTGCTGATATGTAGGGGTTTTGGAAATGGTGCCGATACGCGCTATTTCTAAGTTGTTGAAATGATGTCGTTATTGTTTTCTTACATGATCAGGTTGAAAAAATTGTGGTTACATGATTCTTATGAAATTGTTATGCTTCTGTTATGGACAAATTGGTTGTAGGCTTAATGCCTTGTTGCGTAGTTGTTGTTGTTGTGTTGTAGTCCATAGTAGATGCATTTCATGGCATATCATTTTGGTTGGCGTGTATTGGCGTTGGTTGTGCCTGAATTTGCGGTCTATAATGGCAAATTAAATTGGTTGTGGAGTGTTGCTCCGACTTGGTACCACATGCATATGCACAGTTGAGTCGCATAGTGTTGCGTCATTATGTTGGTTGTAAGCGATGATTGGTCGTTCGATTGTTTTACTAATTGTTGTTGACATGAATAATGAATTTCTTTGCAGTTTATTGTTAATAATATTTGGAAAGCTGCGAAGATTATAATGTTGTGATTTGACTCTGACATGACTTTTATCATGCCTTATGTTATATTGTTGATATCTCACCCTTTACGTTGTATGTTACCTCCGTTGGTGGTAACTTGCAGGTAATCTGGAATGAAGTGTCGTTTCGTTTAAGGTGTCGTTGGTCGCTCTGATACGTAGCACTCTTAGGGGATGAACGATTAATTTATTGCTTTAGTGATCTTCTTTGTTGCTGAATTTTATTAAGTACTTTTCTATTAAATTGGTTGCTTCTGATAGTGCCGAATGTTGGTTGGGCGCACTAAACCGATGAATCGGTAGTGCTGATTTTTATGGATGAAACTAGTTGTATTAGTGCCTTTATGCAAGATTATTACTTGCTGAATTTTTAATGGAGTTTAGATGCAAAACCTTTCTTGCCTTTGTTTTGGCTTGTTATGAGTTGTTTGGAAGTTTATTAAATTCCGCTGCAAAATAACAGGCTGTCTTATAATTAAAATGCTAAGCAGGTTATT